CGCCGGAGCCCAGCAGGTCGAGGCTGCGGTGGCCGGGAGCAGCCACTGCACTCCAGTCTGGGCGACAGAGTGAGACTCCAACTCAAAAAAAAAAAAGAAAGGGATTGGCAGTAGCGGGACACTGCCAGGGTGGGGGTGGGGAGGGAAGTGGGGACCACTACATCAATAAGGGAATCTGATCTCAAACCAGGCGAAGTGGGGACCAAAGGGAGCCCCAAACTTTACCTGTACCACTTGTATACTTAATCCTGAATTGTACCCCACATCTTTAAAATAAAATAATTTTAAAAGAAAAGAAAAAGAATTTGTATAAAATAAACTGCCAATTGAGCAGCCTGGAATTTTCTTTTTCCTTCTTTTTTTAAACAAGAAAAGACATTCAGCAAATGAAATTACTCCATAGAATCATCTACAGGTAAAATTTATACTGATACTGTCCCAGATACTAACCTCTGTACTGTAATTTTAATAACTGCCTCAAAATAGTATTATAGTGTCTTAGGAATGGTCTAATAAAGAATTTTAAATTTCATTTTTGCCAAGGTTATACTGATACTTTTTTAAAAAAAGAGCTGAGCACGGTGGCTCACGCCTATAATCCCAGCCCTTTGGGAGATAGAGGCAAAAGGACTGCCTGAGCCCAGGATTTTGAGACCAGCCTGAGAAAATGGTGAGATTGCATCTCCCCAATAAATAAAAAAAATTAGCTGGGTGTGGTGGCACATGCCTATAATCCTAGCCACTCAGGAGACTGAGACAGTCAGATCACCTGAGCCCACCAGGTCGAGGTCATGGTGGCCAGCACTCCTGCCTGCACTCCTGCCTGGGCGACACAGTGAGACTTCGACTCCAAAACAAAAAAGAAAAAAAAAGCTTTATTTCATAAAATAGTATTTGCCTCTAAAGAGCAGCAGTAATAAAGCTACTCTGACCTAAACATCTGAGCGATTTTTTATGATTTTGTTTATGTTATATTGTAATCACACAAACACACACACACATATATATATTTAATACCAGTAGTATATATATAGTGTGTGTGTTTGTGTGACTCTCTCTCTCTCTCTCTCTCTCTCTAGAGAGAAACACCTACTCCTTTGAACTTACTATAAAACTTAACTTCACTAATGTTTGACACTGTTTAAACTTTCAGAACTTTCAGATAAGCATATACTTAAAGTTAATCTGATACTTTCTGGGGAAAAAAAGCAATGGAAGACTACAGTTACAGCACGTGGTTCTGGGCTTCACAAATTCAATTCTTCATACAGATACTAAAAGGTTGAATGTGTTTACAGTAACTATTTTATGAAGACCATGTTGTATAGTGGCTCAGAGCTCTGACTTTAGAGTCAGATTGCTTGCCAGTTCTGCCCTACACTAGCTGTGTGTGCTGGGGAAGGTATTTAACTCTCTATGCTTTTTTTCATTTATAACCAAGAATACCTATTTCAAAGAAATATTTTAAGGAGTAAATGGTTAATACATGTGCAGCACTTAACAATGCACACATAAGCACTTTACTACTACTGTTCCATCTTAACTTTTTACCTCCAAGTATGTGAAAAGGAAAAGTAATTTTACTTTTATAATATTGTTTTTAAACACTGAACAGTAATATTAAACACTAAGCAGATGGTAATTCACTTTTCTGTCAGACTCAGATGCTGGAAAGGTTTTTATGGTCTGGGACCACTTGGTTGCTATTGCTATACAATGATAAGGAAAAAAGTATGAATTTTTCTCCAGTACAACTCATTATGGCTTCCCTCATCTGAAAAGCAAATTGAGATAATAAATATTTTTAAGTCCACATTCTCCCATTTTCTGTTTTATACAACTTATAATAGTAACTCTGCAAAGAACAGCTTTAGTCATGGGATTTCCATCAATAACAAGCCTTAACCTCCTAAGTCTTACACATTTCAGATGCCTAATACTTTGAAGTGGTGTCTTATAAAGACTAGAACAGAATCTTTTTGCTAAAACAGGAATGCACAGATAAAACTCTAGTGGCAAAAGACTAATAACGTATGTAGTAGCTTCTTAGGCCACTGTAGCTATTTCCCTATCTTCCAGATTTAAGGATATAATAACTGTTTTATCAGCAGAGGCTGTCAAGATGAGTTGATTTTTCTCTTCACAGGATTCCAAAGAAGGAAATGTAATAATAGCTGTTATCTTTTGAGTGTGTCCACTGAGTTCCAAAAGTTTTTCTCCAGTCTGAAATACCAATAAAAATTTTAATAGGCTCATCCTTTGCAATTTAAATTATCATAAATGCTAACATTAAAAAGAATCACCATGTAGAATATACACATATATTCCATCTTAAATTACTTATTCAGAACTTATAATTTAACTGAAGCAATCAAATAGGATCTAAACAAGTGCTGAAACAATAACCACAAACAATTTCTAAAAATTACTAATTGTAAGCATATTTTTATAAGAAAATTAAAAAGACCATTCTTTCCTATAGTTTTAAACAATATAATTATATAAATTAACCATAAAAACATCAATAACTTAATCTGTAGGGAAAAAAATAGGGAATTCTCATTATCCAAGTATTGTTTATCTAAGTGTCTACAGTTACAAGGTTGTGGAAGAAAATAAAAGTTAGCATAACAACTATATATACACACACATATATATATAAAGTGGACACCAGCTCTATAAAAGGATGACAAATTAGTAAATATATATGTATATATAGATATACTAATGTGATAAATTAGTATATATTACTATTAGTAACATTACTAATTATTAGTAATATTAGTATTATTACTATTAGTATATTATACTATTATAGATTATATATGATATTATACTAATATTATATATAGTATATCAGTAATATTAGTATTAGTAATATTACTAGTTATTCATAATATTAGTGTTATTAGTAATACTATTAGTATTACTAATTATTAATATATATTAGTATATATGTATACTAATTTATCAACCTCTTATAGTGTCCACCTTATATATGTATATATGTGTATATATATGTGTATGTGTGTATATATATATATATTATATATACTAATTTATCAACCTCTTATAAAGTTAGTGTCCACTCTAACACCAACAGCTCTTCCCACCCATCCAAAGTCATCCTCCATCAGCCTCTCACTGATTTCCCGAGTAGTAAACTTGGGAATATAATGTCAATTGCAAATCTTTCCAAGAATACAGGATTTCATGAATATAGTGCAAGTAATGTTAAAAAAGCACTCACTATGTTGCCTAGGCTAGCCTCACTTTTATTTTAATCACAGTCCAAGTCAATGAAGAATGAGGCTATCATAGAATGAGACCAGATAACAATCCAAAATAACGGTGAGAGCAAGGTAAATGCTTCAAAAGAGAAGAATTGTGGAATAACAAATAATCAAGAAGAAAAGCCCTGGAGAAACTTGGTGAAACCTTAAATTTTTTTGGAAAAAGTGGCCTTTTGTTATATTATTATTAAAGTCAAACATAAGAAGAATGCTATATTATGCTATCATACAATGCTAAAAAAATGGTACCACTCACAAAAATCAACACTTGATTCATTTTGGAAGACAGTGCAATGGTTACTGATAACCTAAATTTTACTCAATGAATACAAAATTTTAATTTTCATAATTTGGCATCTGTTTTAATTTTAAAAACTTTACCTCTTCATTATGAAATATTGGTCCCCATTATAAATGGATTTATCCTAAGCAGCCCTTGTCAAGTATTAATTAGTTCCAATTAATGATATTGCCATGCAAATATATCCCCAGACAGCGTTTATGAATGAGCACTCAACTATATCATCATATCTTTATTCCATAATCCATATATAATCAATACACACCTGGGCATTCCACACAACTACAATTCCATCATCACCAGCAGATGCAAATCTGGTTAGAGAAAAAGGGTGAAGGAAAAAAAAAATCATTGGTGATATTTAATTGCTAAGATTAACTTAGAACTCTCAGACCTTATTAGTAGTCATTTACTAATATTAGTGAGGATTTAAGTTCTTCAAGCAAACTTAGCAAATATTTATAAAATACCTTTAGGTTGTACGCGAGGTACTAAGGATTCAGAGATAAGTAAGACTTTTACGGGATGACAAAAAATAAGCTGCCAGAAATGTAAACATGAGCACACACAGATGACCCTTCAAGTCTTTCCTTGCTTTAAAATTCTATGATTTTAAGAAATCTCTGACTTCAATGAAATGAAACCAAGCTGAGGAGCAGTCTCAGTGACAGGAAGTGATAATCCAAGGTGAAATGGAATCATGTCCATACATAAATTCATTCTTTCTATTATTTTTGCTGTAAAGATATTTTAGCCCTATTATTTAAAGCCAAGATCTCTCCTTTGCTCAGCTTGGCTCCTTAGTCTTTCCTCTTAAGTGCTGTGTTCTTGGTTTGGAAGGTTTCAAGTTTTTTCAGAGTTTCTGTTTTTGTTTTTTAGTGAAGATGCTTGAAATGGCAGAGGTAAAGGAAAGTTAGTTTCATGGCATGACAAGGAGCCATGACAGGCTCTGCCACAGTTTTCCTCTCCTTACCTCCCACTCTCTCCACATGAAAACAATTACCACATTCTACAGAGTAGAAAATACCCTGACACGAACACTATCTAGAGGAGCAAACTGTCAAACAAGAGTATTCACCATAGTGACTGCATTATAATAAAGTCAAGAAAGACTGTTCTCAAGCAATAACCCAACAATGGTGTACAATAGTCACACTGTAAGCATGCCAAATAATTTATTAATAATGTAGTACGCGAGTTTGTAAATGATTCTTAATGACTCAGAATCTTCAAAAGTATCCCCATAATATCACTTTCATTCACTTGAAATCAGGGTTGTTTGTCTTTTTTTTTTTTTTTTTTTTGAGTCAGGGTCTCACTCTGTCACCAGGCTGGAGCACAGTGGCGTGATCATGGCTTACAGCAGCCTTGACAGCCATGACCTCCTGGGCCCAGGCAATCCTTCTGTCTCAGCCTCCCAAGTAGCTGGGACTAGGCATGTACCACCACACCCAGTTAATTTTTAAAAATATTTTTGTAGAGACAAGCACTCACTATGTTGCCTAGGCTAGCCTCAAACTCCTGGGCTCAAGCAGTCCTCCTTCCTTGGCTTCCCAAAGTGCTGGGATTACAGGTACTAGACGTAGGTTACAACCTGGACGCAGGTTTTTTTGAATAGGAGAGAAAGAAAAGGTGTGATAGAGAGCCAACTGTGGGCCCCTTATAATTAACAACCATTATAAGAGATATTCCACTAACGGCTATAGCATTTAGAAAATATGTTGTACTTCCCCAAGACTGTTAGTGGTTTCACAAAATCTAAGTATAATTTGGGAATCTTCATTGAAGAAAACCTTGTTGATCAGGATTGGTGGCCCAGGTCTGTAATCCCAGTACTTTGGGAGGCTGAGGCAAGAGGATCTCTTGAGCTCAGGAGTTTAAGACCAGCCTGAACAACATAGCAAGATACCCTTTCTACAAAGAAATTTAAAAATTAGCCAGGCATGGTGGAACACACCTGTGTCCTCACTGCTTGAGAGGCTGAGGGGAGAGGATTGCTTGAACCCAGGAGTTCAAGGCTGCATGAGCTATGAGAGCACCACCGCACTCCAGCCTGGGTGACAGAGCAAGACCCTGTCTCAAAAACTAAAACAAACAAACAAACCAAAAACACTGGTCATACGTATATCATTGGGGGAAAAGTAAAGAACTGATGATACTCTTGGACACAGAAATCACTTTTCTATGAGAGCATCTGTTCTAGTGTATTTTACCTCCATATGAGATAAAATCTCACAGCTCATGTAACACTTTCCTTAACACTCCAGAGTTTCATGTTCAGATTTCTCATGCTCCAAGTCCCCTACATAACTGGTTTTTTCATAGGCTTGAACAATTCCCATACTCAGTTCCCATTTCAAAGCCCTTGAATTATATCTCCTACTGTTAGAGCTTATCCGGGAGGTGTGAAGTTGGGCAAATAGGGTCTGACTAAGTCTGTTAATGATTTTTTTAATAGAACTACCTCTTTAATGGAAAAAAACCTTTAAACCATCTTGGTTTACTAGCTAGAAACCATGCATTTAAAAATCCATGCCTGACGTATTTATTTCAAAATGTAGATATAAAAGATCTGGAGATTAAAAAGAAAATGATCATTTAAAAAATAAAAACATAACTTCCTATGCTTAATCATAAGCATTTTTTGAATCAGAATACTAAACAGTGCCTTAAGTATCAAAAATAGTTGCTGGGAGTAAATCTTCCATCGTTTATGTTTCTGGGCCTAATCAATTTTATTTGCACAGTGATGGTGGAGAGGGCAAGACTCAAGGTCTTAAGTTTTCTTTGGTATAAACATCAATTCATATTAATTCTTTAAAGTCTTATAATTGCTTTTCTCCCATTTAGAAAACTACAGGTTTAAAATACATATTTTTTCTAACCCTGAATTTTAACTTCTCATTATTGTTTTATCATGTTTGAATCTCATGAGTTCACAATGAGAGATGAATGGTTGCGAGTTTAGAAATGAGATACAGAGCATTTCACCTAAAACTTTAATTCAATCAGTAGTGAACAAAAGTTAAATCTAAACACTGCTCAAGAGTAATGCATGAAATCACAGTCAATTTTTTATTGCTCAGAAGTCAATTACCCATTTGATAGATTATTCGGGCATTCAATTCTTACATATAGTCTATTGCTGCCTTTTTATTTTATTGGTTTTTGCCATCTCTGTATTTATTGCTACCACCTCTAAAGAGAAAACATAAAGCCTTAACTGCAAACCTTAAGCTTTGGCTCCCTCCTCTCCCTAGAGAAGGTGAATCCCCTCTTTCTTTCTCCCCCCAATTTACTTTGTAAGTAAACTATATTTTCTAATCTAAAAAAAACTTGCAAACCACCATAACTTTGCTATATATTAGTATCTCTTATGAAAAAATTAATAAAGGGTTGAGATATCACTCACAAATTACAATGATCTATCTTACTGTGATGGCTAACCAGTTTATTTTAAACCAAATCCTAGTTCAGTCAGGCACACACTCTAGCCATCTCCAAATCAAAACTGAAAATTCAACCCAAGAATTCCTAACATATTGTAACTGTTGAAAAGAAGTAATGAACTATGCAAAGGAGTAATTAAAACATCAATAAGTCTAAATTAAATGGAAGGAAGAATACTGATTATATTGCCACAACATAACTTTTCATTTCTACCAGTGTTTAAAAACACTAATAGAATCCAAAGACTTAAGCTTAAAAATATTTTGAGAGAAATGCTTCCTTACTTATTAGCACAAAATATATTAGTGTGATTCTGTGCTAGGTGTTAGGGAAATGCCAAGACAAATTACATGTGGTTCTTATCTCGAGACCTTAAGACTTAGTATTGTTTAGAAATGTACTGCATTTCATCAAATCCAAGACCTCATCAATTATAAGACACTATTATTTTATGCACTATTAAGGAAAAAATACTGCCAATTATAACTGAAAGACACTATCAATTATATTACATGTCTACATTTAGAGATGTTAAAATAGGAAAAAAATATGCTTTTTAGAATCAGTGAAATATAATAAGTATCATATTTATCTTTATAATATGGCATTTCCTAGTTTAACGAATCTCTGATTATCTCTGACAGGTTTAAAGTGCTACAGAAATGCTTGTTGAATAATTAAATAAATAAATAAATAAGCAAACATTTAAGCGATACAAGAGCTCTGTGAAATACATTAATGGCATGAATGTAAACTCATCTTTTCCTTTTATCATTATTAATGTATTAATGCACTATCACAACAAAAATAAAAATTTGAAAATGTTAAGTCCGAAATTCCTTTATTTTTTTTTCATGTTCTTGTTTAATTCTTATGAATATACTTCAAGATTTCTTTTCTTTTCTATTCTTTTTTTGAGCCAGGGTCCCACTATGTTGCCCAGGCTGGAGTGCACTTGCACAATCATGGCTCACTGCAGCCTCAATCTCCTAGATTCAGATGATCCTTCTGTCTCATCCTCGACTGCAGGTGAGCAATACCATGTCTATTTTTTTTGTAGAGGTGAGTTCTTATTACGCTACCTGGGCTGGTCTCAAACTCCTGGGCTTAAGTGATTCTTCCACCTCAACCTCTCAAAGTGCCAGGATTACAGGCATGGGCCACCGTACCGGCCAAGATTTCTTAACTGGAAATCAAGTCTTTAAAAATACTCTTTGAGACTACATAAATGACTAAGCAAATATTATATGCATGAAAAACAAGTTCAACAAGGTGAAGCATGGTTTAATGAAGACCTATAGTATTTCTAGAATGTTCCATGCTTTCATCCCCTAATTAAAAGAATAAAATTTATTCATTCATTCAAGAAATATTTATTAAGCATTAACTACAGGCCAGCCACATTGGCTCACACCTGTAATCCCAGCACTCTGGTAGGCAGAAGCAAGAGGATTACCTCAGTTCAGGGGTTCAAGACTAGTCTGGACAATATGGCAAGACCTCGACTCTATAATAAATCAAAAAATTAGTCAGACATGGTGGTGCACGTCTGTAATCTCAGCTACTAGGGAGGGTGAGCAGCTAATTGGGAGGCTGAAGTGGAAGGCTCGCCTGAGCCTAGCAGGTTGGAGACTGCAGTAGTCTTGAGTGTGCCACTGCACTCCAGTCAAAGAGTGAGACTTTGACTCAGATAGATAGATAGATAGATAGATAGATAGATAGATAGATAGATAGATAGATAGATAGACAGACAGACAGACGAAAGCATTAACTATAAATTAAGCACTAAATATACATGTATATGCTAGATCCTGAGAATAAAGATGAATAAGATATGACTCTTGCTCTTCAAGAATCCACAGTC